ATCAAATAATTATGGGATAATTATCTACAAATTAAAATGTACCAATTGTATTAATACAATAGTTGATATGCAATAGTAAAAATAATACAACAAATTATAAAAATAATACGTAATTAATAATACAACATAATACACGAAATCATACGTAATAGTAACAATAATACAACTTATTATTTAAAAAGATACGTAATAGTATTGATAACATAACAGATTAATTCCAGAAATTTTTACTGCACTAAGTTAATTCATAAATATCAAAATCATTTAAATAAATATAAAATTTGGACTTTTCAATCATAAAAAAATTCTAGAAAATCAAGAAAAAATACAAATATTCTTTTAAAAATAATAATTAAATATTTTAAAATACCAAAAAATTATTTTAACTAGTATCGAAAGCTCATGATCATTACAGCCACTGTAGACTAAAGTGTACATCTCCAACATACCGGTGCACCTACCAATGTAAAAACATATCCTGAAGTAGACCGGCGTTTGTCAAGATCCCCCGCATAATCTGAATCCATATAGTCAATACAATCCTATTCTGTCTTCTCATTCTTTTAAAATACCAAACCAACATCCATGGTACCTTTGATATACCGTAGAATCCACTTCACGGCCTTCCAATGACCCTTCCTGGGGTCGTGCATGTACCTAGATATCATGCTCACGACTTGTAACAAATCTGGCCTCGTACACACCATATCATACATCAAGCTACCCACCACACTGGCATATGGAACCTTCTACATATATTCTCTATCCTCAACTGAAACAGACGACATCTTAGCTGAAAGCTTAAAATGGGGAGCTTATAGAGTGCTCACTGCCTTTGCATTGCCATCAAAACTGAATTTCTTCAACATCTTCTGCAGATAACTCCTCTGTGTAAGAATAAATCTCCCCTTTGCCCTGTCCCTCTCGATCTCCATACCCAATATCTTTTTAGCCTTTTCAAGATCCTTCATCTCAAACTCGGATGACAGCTCATTTTTCAACTTTCGAATAGCCGAAGAATTCCTAAAGACAATAAGCATATCATCAACATATAGTAACAAATAGATGTACTCACCATCCTGTAGCTTGTGCATATAAACACATGGGTCATATGGGCTACTCGTGTACCCTCGGCCAATCATAAAGCCGTCGAATCTCTTGTACCATTGTCACTGCGATTGCTTCAATCCGTAAAGAGACTTCTTCAGCTTGCACACTAATTCTTCCTTGCCTGCAGCTTTGAACCCCATAGGTTGTGTCATGTAGATCTCCTCTTCTAAATCTTTATGTAGAAAGGCTGTCTTAACATCCATCTAGACCAAATCCAAATTTAGAATCCTAATCGACGAATGCTTTACAACAGGTGAGAATACCTCGTTGTAAGCAACACCTCAAGCTGTGCATAACCCTTGGTAACCAATCTGGCTTTGTACCGAATATCCCCAATAGAAGATCCCTCTTTCTTTGCATACACCTACTTGTATCCAATAGCCTTCTTACCCTTCGGTAGTTTTGCAAGTTCTCAAGTGTCATTCTTCTGAAGAGACCACATCTCCTCCTCCATAGCTTCCCTCCATCTGATCGAATCGGGGCTAGACTCTACCTCCTTGAATTTGGATGGAACCATATCATCAACAACCTCTGCTGATAAGGCATATGCAACCATGACATCATTATATCTAGCTAGTCGACGAATCACTCTTCTGGTTCTGTTTGCTGCAATGGACTTCTGAACATGACTCAGCTCCTGAGTCTCATAATTCATTGTATCCTCTAAATGCCCGGCTGTCATCCTATCTCCTTCCCGTGTTACCTCTGTGGGAGCCTCAATAGATACAATGCTATCTAGAGTGGGTGGAGTCACATCATCATTCACCTGCTGCGATATCCCTCTTGTCTGGTCTCCCTCCACCTGCTGAGAGACTTGAGGCATCATCATGTACGCCTCGTCGAATGTAACATCTCTGGTAATAACTATCTTCTTGTCATGTGGATCCCATAACTTGAAGCCTTTAACACCTTCTCTAAAACCCACAAAGACAGCTTTCCTCACCCTCGGATTCAATTTACCATCACTGATATGGTAATAAGTTGGACACCCAAATATCTGAAGCGACTCATAGTCACTAGCTACCGAACCAGACCAACGCTCCATCGGAGTCTTCCCTTGTATCGCAGTGCACAACAAACTATTTACGAGATGGCTCGCATAAACTAACGCCTCGGTCCAAAAGGATCTTAACAATCCATTATGTGTCATCATACATCACACCTTCTCCAGCAATGTACGGTTCAACCTCTCAGCCATCCCGTTCTGTTACGGTGTCTCACGAACTGTGAAGTGTCACCTAATATCGTGATCTCGGTAAAACTACAGAAATGGATCACTCTTGTACTCTCCTTCATTGTCCGAACGAAGAGCATTCACCTTTCTACATGTCTGCAGCGTCACTTTCTTCTTCCACTCCACAAAAATATCCAGGGCCTCATGTTTATGCTTCATAAGGTATACCCAATTTCTCCTGAACTAATCGTCAATGAAAGTGATAAAATAGTTGGCCCCACCAAGTGATGTGTGCTTGGAAGAGCCCCAAACATCTGTGTGAATGTAGTCCAATATACCTTGGGTATTGTGAATAGCGATGCCAAACTTCGCTCTCGTCTTCTTCCCAAGTACACAATGCTCACACAGCTCCATCTTGCAGGTCTTCACACCTTTCAATAGCCACTGTTTTGCCAATATATGTAGGGACTTATCACCAGTGTGTCCTAAACGCATGTGCCATAAACTGATAGTGTCCTCCTCTGTAGTGATAGAAGTTGTCAGACCCCCTGTAATTGTCTTATCCTTCAAGTAGTATAGTTTGTTTTCCCTGACACCTCGCATCACCACCATGAACCCCTTCGTGACCTTCAGAGTTGCATTCTTCAAGATCACCCGATAACCAGCTGCCTCCAAAGTTCCAAGTGAAATAATATTATTCATTAACTGCGACACGAACCTTACTTCCTTCAGCTCCTGAGTCACCCTGTCACACATGAGGATCCGAACTGTACCAATACCATCAATAGGGCATACGTGATTCATTACCCATAAGCACGACATCCCCTCTTTCCAACTCCTTAAAGCTAGAGAACCAATCCATTCTAGGGCAAATATGATATGTAGCATCAGAATCCTTCATCCACTCCGTAGAGTCAGTGTAACAAACTGACGGTAATACTGAGCATGAAAAGCCCGAAGAATCCGTATCTGAATTGTCGTCACTAGCCTTGACAACATTCATTTCCGAAGCTTGTACAACTTTCTATTTATTCTTTTCGGCTTTATCTTTTAACTTTGGGCACTCGTTCTTTTAATGTCCTTCTTCTTTACAAAAACGACACTGGTTCCTACCAACACTCTTATGGCTACATCTATTCCTCGATTTTGAGTGGTTGGAGTGCCAACGGTTTGGAGTACGGCGTCGAACTGCTAATGCATCTCCTGATGCCTTCTCGAAGGGTTCGTTATCACTTTTCCTCAATTCATAATTTACCAAAGCTGAGGTCACCTCCTTATAACTAACAATAGTTCTACCATTAATCATAGTTAGGAAAAAAATACCATAATCATCCTCCGGTAACGAACACAAATGTAGCATCGCCTTATCTTCATCCTCAACCATTATATTCACATTGGTCATATCTGAAAGCAACTTCGTAAAGTTATTTACATACTCCCTAATAGAAACTCCCCTCTTCATCTTGAACTGCGAAAAACCTCTTCTTCAAGTAAAGCTGATTCTCAATGCTTTTAGTAAGATACTTTTCATTGAATGTTTTCCACAATTTATTTGTCGACGTCTCGTTCATCACATCATAAATTAGATCCGACGTTAAGCATGACCTAATAACTCCACAAGCCCTACTATTCATCTTCTTCCAAACCTTGTCCTCTATATCATCTGGTTTCTCTTCCAACTCAAGAGAATCCTCCAAATTTTGTGCATCCAACGCATCCATCACCTGGCACCTCCACAAACCAAAATTAATCTTGCCGTCGAACTTCGGAACATCAATCTTTGTATTATTGATGCTCAGACTCTGTGCCTTCGAAATAGACGATCTCGATGTGCTTGTTTCACCCATATTGTAGATCTAACTCTTTAGATAAGAATCCTTCAGCGAATCCTTCGAACAAGCCCCAAGCCAAAACATGTGCTCTGATACCACTTGTTGTGCGCAGTGAAAATTTTGGCAGCATTTCTGGTGCACAACAAGAGAGTAAGATCACAACTAAATCACTGTTTCACAAAGGAAACAAGAATCGAAAGTGATATATCTCAATAAAGTAGGATATACACTCTTCCTCTCATCAGATCTAGGACTGACTTGTCGAGGGAACCTAACAAGCTATTACAAATCACAACAAGACAAACTATTTTCTACGTGGTTCGGCAAGTTGCCTACGTCCACGAGCAATGAGGGGGGAGATCTACTATTAGAGAGAAAGAGAATACAAATAGGGTTAACAATCATACAAAGTCTCACAAATAAAACCATTAAACAAAATCTCAAATCTCTCACAATTTCTCTCTCAAAAGGGATGTTGAAAACCCTCTCAAAGTCGGCACCAAGGACTGCTCAAAATCTCCTCCTGAAAGTCGACTCACCTCTGTTTTTTTTCTTCAGCGTTTTTTTTCTTTGCCGCTTTCACCCGGAAACCCTAGAAAACTAGGGTTTATATATAGGAGCTCGTGGGTGTGGCCCCCACGCCCCAACGAGAAAACGCGTCTCGTGGGGAGGTGCTCGTGGGTGTGGCCCCCACGAGCAAAACGCGTTCACATGGCACATGTTTTCTTTTGGGGTTTCCCATTTTTGTTTGGTCTACTTAACGTCAGAAAATGAAATCTGGCAAGTTTTTTGGGCTTTCCTTTAATTTCCCGTGGGATTTTTATTTTTCAGTAAACCAAACAAGCCCTAAGAGGCCAGATCCAATCAGCAAAAGCTTTCCCACATTGAGAGATCCAACAACAATCATACATGTAAAGCTCAAAATTAAAAAAAAAAAAAAAGGCAGCAATGTTCTATTTCTAGAGACAACTAAATCATCTCCACTTCAACTTTGTTCCTCTGAGTCACTTCATTTCCTTCTCCATGATTCTCCTCTATATCCTTCTCTTCCGCATTAAAAGTAGAGTGGACTCCATATAACAAATAGAACAACACAATCACACAACTCCACACTCCAAACCTCAGAAAAGACCTCTTCTTAAGTGTAGTCATAAGAAACACATTGAGAAATATCGACCCTGACGCGGGCCAGGGCATCAATGGCACCGACCACTCTGAGAGTCCTCGGTGACAAGGCGCTCTGTATTGAAAGAAGAGCGTAATGGCGATCAGAGCTCCACCGAAAAATGCCAGAGTCCAATAGTATCTTTCGTCGAGCTTCCATGATAGTGAGAACCCAAGGGAGGTTGATGTGAAGAGGAGGAGGTATATAAGAGTAGGGTGCGGGCGGTTTGTGCTTAGCTTCACGTATCGATGATATATGAGCGCGTTAGCGACCATGTAGAACACGAGGAGAGTGCCGATGGAGATCATTTCAAGAACAATGTCAAGTTCGGTGAAGAGTGCAATCGACGCGGTGCATATACCTGTAAAAATGTTAAACGGACATGTACATTCTGTTACAAAAGTTGTTACACGTTCAAAAAGAAAAGGGTAAACTTTCACCCATCTTAAGGTATCCCTCCAAAAATTCGGAAATGCCACTCGACCCTAGTACTTCAGCGATTTCTGAACCTACATTCAGATAATACCCAATTTTTCGGGTGGCGGGTGACATTTTCAATCTTCTGGAGGGTCATCTCAAAATACGCCAAACTTCTTGGGGGGGTTGTGTGAAATTTAACCAAAAGATAATCATTTTTTTTTTGTCAAATCTCCCATACATTCTCAACAGTGCATTTCACAATGCAAATAATTCTGGTGAAGACCGACTGTAGTAATTAAGAATACGAATGTCTTCAATAGCGTATTAACTTCAAGTGATGAGGAGACACGCGTAGCAGACAAAGGCTTTTTTTTTCTAATTGAAAATGCTAAGACAGCCAGCTATGCGCACAAACAAACACCACATACTACAAACTAGTCTTATTGGAGAAATCATCACAAGATTATTAAACTTATTATCACTACATTTCAAAAGCAAGAGAGCGCTATGGTTTGCTTTCAAGATTTTGTTTCTTTGCAATGTGAAGATACCTTGATTGAGACTTTACATACCCAAGAAAATGGTTGCATTCAAAGGAGTCCCAGTTGAAGGGTGCACCTTGGCTAGCCAGAGAGGGACGAGCCTTGCCCTGCCTATGACACACAGGTACCGAGCTTGGCCTAGCATCGCGACGAGGAGCGACGCGACGATGCCCAAGCTCGCCCCAGCTCCTACGACGCTGCTCGCCCACTTCCATCCTGTAGTCCTCTGGAATGCTGAGGCGAAGGATGCGCTCTTCGATATCTAGAATGACAGAGAAATTATTTATCCGGCTAGACATAAGGATAAACAAATTTTGGGCGTCGAAAAATGAAAAATAGAGGAAAATTTAGATCTTTCAAACGAGGGAAAAAAGCCGAACTTTTTACCGTTAACCTGGAATTCTGCATGCAGACATTTGTCCATAGGTTTTTTTACTCATACACGGGAAGTTTTTTTACTGAACTTTTAAGAACAATATTTGGAACGAACAGTTGGTTTGTCTCATTGCTTGACATGTTATCGGGGTTCTTACCTCGTTGTAGGGAACCATGGAGGATAAAGCCAACGCCATGAGACAATAAAGGGAGGAAACGATGAGGACAGATCCAGCGATGCCAATGGGAAGACTCTTCGATGGGCTCCTTATCTCTTCGGCCACCGTTGACACCGATATAGCTGAAGTATACTATCGCCGCTCCATCGAGAACGCCTCTCACCCCGAAAGGAGTTAGACCTTTCGGCTCAACCAAATTCCTCGGGCTCCCGTTACAGAAACCAGCGGCGATAACGAAAGCGAAGAAGATCAAATGGAATACTGTCATCACGAGATTAAGCATGGAGCTCCCCTTCGTGCTGCAATTAAAAACCAAAGCGTACGTCTTTGAATTTCCTACGGGTAAAAGTAAAAAAAAAAAAAAAAGCCCTTCTGAAATGTTTGCAAACCGTCACGAACGGCATTAACGTGAAGGGTAGAAAAAAAGTCTAAACTACATTTCTTACCATCTAACTATAACAACAGTCTTTCAGTAAAATTTGAACATAACACCTGAAGGACAAAATTGTTTCAAAATAACTGCTATCAATTCATGTAGGAAAGTGAGACAAGTTCAGTGGTGGTTGCGGATAGAAATCCTACACTATCGCTTTTGAATTTACTGCCCCTCTAGTTTCGTTTCGTCGCACAGACCCCCTCCAAGAATGAGAAACTTGTGTTTTAGCAAATAGACACCTGGGGGTAAACGATCGAGTCAAAGAATTTCACTTAGGGAGCCTATCTGGCAAAACTAAAGTACAGGGATATATAGTAAGTTCAAAACAACGATACTACAGGGGTCTATCCGCAACTTACCCAGGTTTGTAACATACAGGAAGGTTTTGTGTAATTCACCCGAGGCTAAACTGAATAAAGAGACAAAAACAAAGATAGTTACCTACGACACAAGCAAAGTGTTAGAAGAAGAACAAGGACAACTGCAGGGAAATCCAAAGTGTTATATCCCTCAGCCAAACCACCCACTGCTACTCTCCATGAATCAGGATCATCTTGGCCAAAAGTAGAGCTCAAGTACTCTGTGAAGCTCCTAGCAACCGCAGCATTCGACAGAACATACTCCAACAACAAATTTGCTCCTCCGAAATACCCCACAAACTCCCCTAGAACCATGCACAATCTCAACAAATCAATAAAAACTCGTGTATACCACAAAACCTGCACAACTGACACATATCATACCGAAAGTAACCCTGAGATAGCTAAAAGCACCACCAGCGACGGGGATTTCAACAGAGAACTCGGTGTAGCACAGCGAAGAAAGAAACGCCGATACTCCCGCGATGATATAAGAAACGAACACCGCGGGCCCTGAGATCTCATGAGCAACGTGGCCGGTTGTCACGAAAACTCCAGCACCAAGCATTCCTCCGACGCCAAGGGCAATCAGGTCATACCACTCGAGCTTCCTCTTCATGTCTGATCCTGATCTCTGCCTCACTGGGTTGAGTTCTTGGTCTGGCGTGTAAGTGACTAGCATTCTTTTTTTCAGTCTATGTGGGGTTTGATATAGAGAGTATAGGATTTTAGAGAAGGAGCTAAGGGGGGCATTTTGATTGCTGATCATAGTTTTGAGATTTGCTGTGTTAGGCTTCCATGCATTGTATTTATACATGAAACGTTAGGTGCAGGAGAAAATTAAGCTTGGGTCCTCAGGGTAACCGAACCTTTGATTTGCATCAGATTTGGTCAGTCATTTTTGCATTTGTACACTTTTATCTTTTTATCAGTAACTACAAATGTTTTACAAAAATATTTGGTACTGTTTGGATGAGGTAAAACTATGTACCCAAATATTGGGTCAAGGATAACTATTGACAAATACCAAAAAAAAAAAAAAAAGTGTTTATCTCAAAGTTATAATGACAAATAGAACTAAGAGGTACCAAATTTTGGACTCATATATACTAGTTTTTAGACTGTAAAAATACTACTTTTGTGTATAACGATTTGCACCTTCAGGCAGTTCCACATCAAATATGTTGCTTCCCTACTTATTATTCTTAATCTATTATTCGTCGCGTCTACGTATTTAGAGTAATATTTGTTGTATTTATATAACGAGCATTTATTGTATATTTGCGTTAAAGCGTATATACTTGCGCATTTGTCATGCCTATGAATGCATGTGCATTCCTAAATGGATTAGATGTTAATTTGTCCTCAAATTTGGACTCTGATAAAAAAAAACAAAACTCAGTTGGGCTAATATCACAAGAGCAAATATTTTTGTCCCTGCCTCAGTTTCTTCTTTTGTCATCAGTATCTTTGAAATGACATGATAATTATCCATATCTTTATTTCTTGGTTGAAAGGCATGCTCTCAAGGAAACAATTATTATTTGTTGTCAAATAAATCCCATTAAATAAGTAGTGGTGGTGATAAGTTCAATTAATGAATAAAATGATATACCTAGATCATTAGAATCAAATGAATATTATGAAAGGTTATCCTCCATCATCCACGCAATTAAATTATTTAAGCCAATGTTCGATATAACCATTCTTCTAGCGGTCAAATAGAATCCTTGCTAATACAATTTTAGGTATCTTTAGAAGTTTGCGAAGTGGAAAAAAGTACTTAGTCTTTAGAGGAGTATTCTTTTTTTTTTTAATGTCATCAAGAGTATAATTGATTAAAAAAATCAAGAATAAAGGTGAAATTCAATGTTTCTACAGATTTTGAGGATTAGAAACAAAAGGCTCTGAAACAGAGGACCAAGATTTTGTTTTAAAAGACAGACGCATATATAGTACCACTAGATACTTTTATCTTTAATACCAACTTGAGAAATAAAATAGCTATAAATTGTTTAAAAGAAAGATGTATGTAGTACCACTAGATGCTTCATCTTAAATACTAACTTAAAGAAATAAAATAAGAACAATTTTTCAAAACATCCCCTTTTAAAATTTTATTTTTCAAAATCGACCTTGTTTTTTTTTATTTACCAAAACCGATCCGTTTTTTTGATTAGCAGCCTAATCACATTCCTAAATAGTCGGGGTTGCCAACCCCGACTATTTAAGAGGACGTTAAACCCTAATTAGAAGCCTTAAACCATACAAATTTAAATCCTAAATAGTCGGGGTTGGCAACCCCGACTATTTAGGAATGTGATTAGGCTGCTAATCAAAAAACGGGTTGGTTTTGATAAATAAAAAAACAGGGTTGATTTTGAAAAATAAAAATTTAAAAGGGTCTGTTTTGAAAAATTGTTCAATAAAATAACTATAAATTTCTCTTGGATGGCTCTTCAATTTCTCAAAGTACAGGAAAAAATAAATGCATGTTCTGTCTGTTTGCAACCATATCATCATCCAGATTAATTTGCAGAATATCTTGTTGAGACTAAAAATCCAAACATGTTAGCGCCAATCTCTTAGAATTCTTATATAAAAAATATTGTAGAGGAGATCCTCAGTCAGCTATGCAACAATTGGAGAATCAACAAACTTTGAAAATCATTCTTCCAACCCTTTGCTAATCCTTTACTGACTCCATTACGCATGCAACAAATAATTACATGAATAAATGATTTGACCATCCTAAGAGCAACGGCAGCAATCTCCTAGTAGGGAGTTCTTGTTGGAGTGCTCTCAAACATAGAGCCCACTTAGGAGCTTCCTACTAGCACAAATATTCTAACAAACTCCCAATTAGGAGCTTAAATATTATTTAAAAATTTCATTCTTCTGCCTAACATTTTATAAAAATATATTTTAAAACAATAAATCTAATAAAAAATATTTTTTTAGTGGCCCCCACCCCTTAGTAGCTCCCAAGTGCTCCACAAATTTGTAGAGCTCTCAAGAGCTCCATGGTGGACCCCACCGCCAACTAGGACTTAGAAGCCTCCTTGGGAGCTTGTTGGCACATGTTGGGAGTTTTTCCTTGCCACATCACCCTTAAGAGCCTCCTTGTGAGAGGCTGCTGCACTTGCTCTAAGTCCGTAACATAGTACAAATCATTATGGGAACAAACAAGATTTGATCGTGATTTGAAAATCATTCTTCCAACCCTTTGCTAATCCTTTACTGACTCCATTACTCATGCAACAAATAATTACATGAATAAATGATTTGACCATCCTAAGAGCAAGGGCAGCAATCTCCTAGTAGGAAGCTTTTGTTGGAATGCTCTCAAGCATGGGGCTCACTTAGGAGCTTCCTACTAACACAAATATTCTAACAAACTCCCAATTAGGAGCTTAAATATTATTTAAAAAATCCATTCTTCTGCCTAACATTTTATAAAAAAACATTTTTAAAACAATAAATCTAATAAAAAAATATTTTTTAGTGGCCCCCACCCCTTAGTAGCTTCCAAGTGCTCCACAAATTTGTAGAGCTCTCAGGAACTCCATGATGGACCCCACCGACAACTAGGACTTAGGAGCCTCCTCGGGAGCTTGTTAGAACATGTTGGGAGCCTTTCCTTGCCACATCACCCATAAGAGCCTCCTTGTGGGAGGCTGCTACACTTGCTCTAAGTCCGCAACATAGTACAAATCATTACGGGAACAAACAAGATCTGATCGTGATTTGAAAAGTAAACAAGTGCTAGTCACATGCAAATCCTTGGTCCAAGAAAGATCTAACAGTAAACTACGCCCCACTTCCATACGCCTCCTTAAAATTTATGCGTACTCGCAAGACTAGATGAGTTGGTTTAGCGTCTCATGAAGATGCATAATCTCCCAATCTACCTCAAATCTCAAGATTCTAAATTAACAAGTTAAGTATAGATTCTATCCTACGGAACAGATGCCTCCACGGATGATAACCAAATAAATTTCTCCTACGTCCAACGTGATAGGTCGAAATAACAAATAGATTGTTCCACATGATAAAAACATAATCTTAATAAAACGAGGAGCTGTATGCTGAAATGGGGACATTTTATAGTATTGACAAACAAGCTGGAGAAAGCTACAGGCGGACTCTTTTCGGTAGGATATATTCCACGAGCCAACTAAAGTAGCCGTGTTCTTCACCGTAGCATCACAAATTAAATCATAATTTAATTAATTATTAATTTAGATATCTTAAGAGGCATCATTAAGTTGGCTACATGAAGTTGTCCTCCACTTACCAAAATCCAAAGCCTAATTGGAGGGAGAATGGAATCCAACTTCATCATTGTATAGGAATCAATCATGCATTGAATGTTGGTACAGAAAAAGAGACTTGTGCGGTTGTTCTTTTTGTACATGATTGGTTTGAGGTCTAGCTCTGTGCCATAAATGATCATCGAAAAAGTCGGCCATTGGATTCTAATCTGGCTCTAATTATTTTTCCACCTCTATACATTGTTTAGATATTACATACTCTCTATAGTCTATCTAGTACAAGATGCATCATATTCTAATGGGTCTCATTGTGAAGCACTATATACTATTCTGATCAGTAATAATGAAATCTGAAGACATGAAGAGAAGCTTGAGGGAAGAATATAGGGGCTAGATCTTAAACCAAATTCACACAAGCACAAGGTAGCTCTCTCTTCTATCAGGACGCGAATTTTTTTTTTCTGCTGCTGAAGTTTGATACTGAGCGGCAACAAAATGTATGAGCATATGGAAATTTTTTGCAAGAATATCAGATTACCATATTAGCTCCTTTTTCTTCAGTTTTTTTTTTTTAAATGACCAACTCTCTCAACCCCACCATCCATGCACACACAGATAAACATGGAAAAGGATACACGACAATATGAAAAGTAAATGGGGGCAGGTGTGCGTGTTACTCCACACTGTTGGCTGTTATGTCACTAACGTAGCATATATTCAGACTGCTACAACCTTGATTATCAACACATCCAAACCATAGCTAACAATATGGATATCTATCATTGCAGCGACACACTAGCCCAGAATGCGAAGGGACATAGCGACCCTATTTACTCTAATATGCAATACAAGACCTAGTGAAGTTCCAAATAAGATAAAATACAAAGATAAATTGGTTCCATAAGTTAATCACATGAGTACATGTGATTGAACAAAAGAGATAGGCTTGGTGAAGGCGTATTATTACCCTTCACAAAGTATTTGTCAAGATATCATCTTACTTCACAATATACTTTGCTTTATATGCGATACCTAGTCACCCCTTACTTTATGCATTTCATAATAATACGTTTCATAAAGTAATATGTTTATTAGGATGAACGCAATTAAATAGTAATTGATGATAATTAGCTTATGGAAATATTCAAAAGCTTGAGAAAACAAATGCTCTATTGCGAGTCAGAATAAAATTAGTTACTCGGAGACCAACCAATGAAAGAAGTGATCTGGGTGAAAGAGTAACAAAATATGCATTTATCCTAGTGGGCATGAATACTTCATATTGGACGTATACTCGCAACCAAGAAGTTATCCTCTTTACTTTGTCTCTAGATGCATGAATCTCTTTCAAGTGAGCAAAAGCAAAAAAGAAATTTCTTGGTAGAAGTAGATAATATGGGAGACTTAGTCATCTCAACTCATCTAAGATTATGGGATTAAACTGGATTACTTTTTAAGATTCTGTATGGTCAATGCCTCTGAAATATTCACTAGGGTCACTAGGTCAATCTAATTAGAGGTCACTAAGTCACCACTAATGTTCCAATGAACTAAGGTATGTTCTTATGGCAAATTTCTAATCAAGACCCAGGTAATGTTCCTAAGAAATATTGTTCCTTCAATCCCAATCCATAATTTTTCTTTCCTAAAAACTCTTAGGTTTCACCATGTAATACCTTCTGCCAATATGTTACTCAGAATAAAAAAATCTTCTGCCAAATGACATCATAAAAGAAATTAAATAGCCAGACAAACAAGTAAAGTGCGAACGTAATAGGAGATGACAGAATAAGAGTTTTATTTCAATCATACCTAACATATTATTTGAATATACTAACTGGTAATGGTAAGGGCATTTTGTCTAGATAACCTTAAGTACAATAAATGCGCACCAAAATGAGATGCCCACAAATTCAAAGCATACAAAAGTGTACTGGGGAAAATACGTGCATAAAATACATTACTACATTCCCTCCATAACAGCACCTTCATGTCTATATTGGGTAATATTCAAAGTTTAAGCGTCAAAGAACTTGGACAACTGTTAAAATTTGAGAAACTATAAGAGTTTTAATAACAAATAGGATATAAAGCATTTCCTGCATTTTGAAATTGAACTGAGTTATGCTGCAGAAATCATGTGTACTGCACTAACTGCAAGATGTTTGAATCCATAAAATAATTGGTTTATATGCAAGACAGTTCAAAAGATCAATTCAATTAGTGCTGACATGTTAACATAACATCAAACATCAAAGGTTTCTTGCATCACTTTCTGATCAAGGGGCAATTAAAAAGGCTCTTCATGTGTACTGCACTAACTGCTGAGTGTTGAAATGTTTTTTTTTCAAAAAAAAAAAAAGATAACATTAGCTCTGATTGTATCCTCGTCACATATATTAGTATTGCTGTAAACCACTTTATCCAAAATCCTAAATTTGTATCAGAGGCATGCATGTTTCAATAGCTCGTGTATACAAATCTCATTGTTGTCCTATTCAAAATATATCCAAAATTGAAGCTGTTTTCATGCGATCCAAAAGTCACATCTAATATCTAAGAATGAATGTAGCTCTCATATCTCAACTGTCTATTTTAAACCAAAATTATTCTTGACACATTCTAACCAATAGCAATAGAATGAACTCAAAAAGAAAATTTTCCTCTTTCAGTTTACTGTTGACTAAAGAGCAAAGATCTTCAAAAAATCTAAAATAGTGCTTTGCAACTAATAAAGTGAGGAGCTGGTCTCCATTTTAAGCAACTAAAGTGCTTAGCACCATTAATTAAAAAAATCACCTCTAATCGTCCTAGGTTCAACATATAAACTCCAACCAAAGCAAAAATTTTAATAATGCACCGGCTCCTGTTTCAACGCCTCTTATTCCTACAAAACTATAGGCAATGTGACAATTAGGTTACAGTATGCATGAAGCAATATAATCCTTTATTGGGAAGTGGTAATATTATTTTGCGCTAATGGTCGGCCACTGGACAGGAGCATATAGGACTGGAAATGAATTGAATATAAATCGAATACTGAGATATTTGTATTTGTATTCTTTAAACCTTTTGGATATCGTCGAATACTGAGATATTTGTATTGGTTACAGTACGAATTTGAATATCGTTCTCTAATTTTCTTCGAATTCAAATACCAGTATTTGCCGAATAGTCGTGAATACTTGGTCGAATATTAAAGTATATTTATTTGATTAAAAAATTATGTTTTATGAATATTAAACAATTTAATTAAGAGTGCTGCTACAGGGACCCCAAAATAGGGGACCCTACATGGGACATGTGATGTGTCGCCTCGCTGTCCCGTGATGCACTGTTCACGGGACAGGGCATCACGGGATAGAGAGGCGACACCTCACCTGTCCCACTCAGGGTCCCCTATTTTGGGGTCCCTGAGGCATTTTTCTTTAATTAAGTAGATGTTTTTATTTGACTAAAGCAGTTTTTTTCATTTTTCTGAGAATTTGATATTTTAGATAACATTTAAATTCATAATTGAAAATCAGTCATATATATGATGCCTAAATCGGTAATGTGATTATTTCGTTAAAAAAACAGATTTGGAACTTGTTAAGCCTCTGAAAATTAGTATACAACTAAAGTAAAAAATGTCGATGGGTCAAGAACATAACATCACGTGTGTAATTAACACATGTTATAAGTAAACAAATTTTTATCTAATAGTTTATTAAACAAATGAATCAAGTAATCTATGGTTACTTTCTATTCGTTTATGAACTAAATACTAAGAACTATTCACTTATTGTTAAATGAACAATCAAATCGAATATGACCGAATACTTAAGCGAATAAATACCAAAGTATTTGTTAAATATTTGAGAGGCAAGCAATTCTGATGCCTAATTTTATTAATGAATAAAGTATATGGATACAAGATAAGAAAGAAAAGAAGGAAAGAGGAAAACAGTTTTATGTTTTAGGTAATAATAATAAAAACAATCATGCGTAATGTTATTAATAATAAAGAAAGAAATACTGATGCATGGCAAGAAAAAAAAGTAACTATACCAGAAGCTACAAGCTAGATGTTTATTCATTAACTAGAGATTAGTCGAAAACAAAGAATTCACTGAGCTGCTTGCATCTACTTGCAAGGATTTATTGTTGCAGTAGAGAGATAATATTTCCATTGATATCGAAAAAACATGGAATTGTAACCTCAACTACTGCTCTAAGCAAAGAATAAACAAAGAATATTATGTATTGTCGGTAGTGGTGTTCAAATATGCAGGTTCATTAGGACTATCATTGGTTCTTTCAACCAAATCCCTTTTCCTCTAATGGTAATGCTTTTGGTGGTGGGAGGGAGCATGCAGTGGGTTTATTTTAGTACTAGGATGGAGCGCCTCTCTTTCTTCAAAGCCTCGTGAGCTTTTGAAGAAAGTAGATGTGCTTTGGATCAATCGCTTGAAAGAAGATCCCCGTATTGGTGAGAGAGGCCAACCAATGAGCTAAAATCAACGGAAAGTGATAGGAGTAGGCCGGTGGTGGTCCTTGCACTCTGAGGTATCCTATGCTCTGCATATCTCTATATACTATGAGAGCAGGATGTAGTTCCCAATCCAAAATAATAAGCCCTTAATCACACTTTTCCCTAGGTTCAAAACCCCATTCCAGTTTATTTTGTAATTTAATAATAAAAGGGTAAATTCAAACCCCCAACCCCCAGAAAATCTTTCGGGTATTTCCCATGAACCCCAAAACTTTCGGTTGTCTCACAAAACCCCCTTAGACTTTCAAAATTTCTCACTGACCCCCTAACTGCGTTGATAGATTGTTGGTTGCGTATACCCTATATTAAAATAAACAGAGTTAAAAAAATATACTAGACTCCTCCAAATGCTTCATCCCATATGATGATGAATAACTGCTTTTCCTCTCCATTCTAACGCCACTGCTTCATTCTTATGGAATCAAGTCCATCTAGTTACACAATGTCCAAATTCTATATAGCAAGTACAGTTTTTATCAGTTATTAGGCCCAGCCACTATCACATAATGGTTTTGAAGTGAAGCATGAAACACACAAGAAACAGTTCCAATGTTCACTGTCAAATGTCTTAAGATTGACGCAACATTCATCTGAAAACAATATATCAATCCATAAAGAGATCATATTGGTACCTGAAAATATTGGACGTAATAGAAAAAACCACCAACTTCTTTCCCTGCTTCAGTGAGCTAGCTCTATGTTACCACTCTGAGAACCATCGCTGAGAAGGGCAAGTTCTTTGCTGTAGCTTTGCACCAGTCATAGTATTCCAGTGTACAGATAACATTCATCTACTTCTTGTATTGGATATGAATAATTTCTAAGGCTTTTTTTACAAAGGAGGCCAGGTGAAGTGAAAGAAAGATTAGCTTGCTCAGACTCAGACTGTTCATCCTTGGTGATGCAAGTTTATGAAGTAAGCTGTACAGAACTGAGAGTATATGTCTATACAAAGTTGATGTATTTGAAGGTCAGCAGCACTGTGAGCTATATCTCACTAGTACGGCCTGAAGAATCGCCTTGGTCTTCTGAACCTGGGAGCCTTGCTGAAAGAAAGGAAAATAAATCGGTCTATCAAAATCACATTCACATATATTATGATATGAAAGGAAAAAAGTAGCAGACTTAAGCATCAACACTTAGCGTGGACGAAGAAACACGTTAAAAAGAGCATGAATTACCTCTGCATAACATAATAAAAAAGAGAATACAAAATAAGCAACTTTACATTAACAGGATTCATACAACTCAATCACACGAGTGCAGACATCCTGAATATACAAATTCTAGCATCAGTTTATTTTGGTAGGTACATCTTAGATTCATAAAAGTTTCTCTAAATGCATCTGCTGACTGATTTAACTAGCAAAAAGCCCTCAATGGTGATCTCCCTCTTGTAAATCCCAGTTAGTTCTCCAGATATGTTGACCTATGCTCCATCACTATTGTGCCGCCATAAATTCGATTATCATACCAAAATTTTGCAATTTGCACATAAGCTTTATTCTTCTAGATTGGAAGCAAGCTTCTTATCTTCTTCCACTTTTCTTATTACTTTTAGTTTAATTTTAAGATCTATTATCAAAACGTAGCTAAGTGCAACGTTTTGCATATTAGTTAACAAAACAATGGTAAGTGAAAAAAAACCTACATGTCTTACTTTATGTTGAAAGAATAAAAAAGGAATAGAAGAGAAATGTCAGAAAGATAGTAAGGGACTGATAAGTTTGCTTGGGTTAGTAGTGGATCTGCTGCAAACAATGATAACCATACATTACGTGTTGCACATAGCCAGAAAACAAGTCACGTGTAAGGTTTATTAGGACACTTAAGTTTGAAAATATATATGACTCAACCGAAAGCAACAATTTCGAAGGCATAAAATTATGGGTATAGATGGACAACAAATCCACGGTTCTTAATTGATATATTTAAGTCCTTTGGAGTTTTTTTTTATGTTGTATTTTTTTATTAATCCTGAAACAAGGGTAATCTATTTCAGTAATGCATTTGATCACTTTCAAGATGGGTATTAGGAATATCCAAGAGACTCCAAGGAATTCATGAATGCAATCTGATGAAGCAAAAACAGTTTACCCATGCATAGTTTCTGAGGAATACAACACAAACTGGTGGAACAAAAAATTTTATGATTTCTACAAAATTCTTCACACAATCATAGCTTTACTATAAAGTCCTGAAATATACCTCCATTTTAGAATAAAAACTACCTGACCGAAATCTACCTCTGATAAATTGTCCAAACCAGATACCGCTACTTGATATGAACCATATGATATCAGATTAAGTAATGATTGATAAAGATGCTGGCTAACCATAGATGTGACAAAGGGACAATGGCAATAACAAAATGTGTAGATAAATATAATTGATTGTTCCAAAAGCTGAACTAGATACACTGGAGGGCCTTAAGATTTCAAAAGAATAACTAGAACTGCTCACGAAAACGATTAACATGCCCAGACATAGAACATTGACCCCAAATCAAATAGTTCACTTGCTGGTGACACAAAAATCATTGACTTGCACTATACCAAAGCCAAGCTGGGATTTTCTAAGGCATAAAAGTTGTGATACACTTTAATTAACATTTCATGACCATGACATAAATTTTAAATAATTTTACAAGTACATCATATCAGTGGCTGATGAATCCAATAATTGACGGGTTCTGTTCTGTCCTGATCATATCAATTAATCTTATAGGCATGAGAGACATTCTCTTGGACATCATCTATTCATCTTACTGAATCATATGTCATACTATAAGACTATGAACAGTAACTCAGCTGACCACGTTTCTAATTTATTAAAGCTCTAGCATTGTTTCTTCTGTGACCAAGCCTAAAAGGGCGCAAATACTGGTGGTTACCCAAACCCAAAAGATGGCATATATGCTCTTTCGGAACGAAATGCCATATATGGAGGCCATTGTTCCCCATACTGCTTCATTCCTGGAAAGTTGGTCCTTTTAGCTGATACCTGTTATATAATCAATAGCAAATCCAAATTATTCTTCCAAAAGAGGCAAGGTTTGAAAGAGTAATAACACATTTTAAGCCAATGAAGTAAACAAGGACCTTAAGCTTACGACCATGCAGCTCCGACTCATTCAGCAAGAGAGCATTCTGAACAGCATCAAGTTCCAGAAACTCCACATATGCAAATCCTTTGGGTTGACCAAATTCATCAATCAGAATTGTTATTCTGTTCACAGTTCCACATGAGTGGAAATGCTGTTGGATTTCTTCCAGAGTGCAGTAGTAGTCTACCTGAAGAAAGATTCTTTGATATTAAACAACCGAGAATGGCATTTCTGATAATTGCCAACATGCACAATAGCATTCAAGTTAAAGAGTAAAAAAGAAGAAAATGTATAAATGTTCATTGGCTGGGACGTTTCAGCAAAGAAGGAAAATGAAATGACATGTGCAATCTGTTCAACAACTACAAAAGCTTTCATCCCCTGAAATACTTATCAGACTCACTCACCTAAAAAGAAACATACAAATCCCAGAAACTACTAATGCTAAAAGATGTATGTACTTTCTTTATATATTTATTTTCTCAAAATTATGTGACCAGTACATCAAATCTTAATTGATGAAAGAGGTATAACACATGAAACCACTGATACTAGAACCTGCTGCCATGAGAATTGATAGGCAACTTAATTTATGTGGTGAAGACAATAAAGGAGATTTAAAAAAAACAATAAGATTGCTCTGGTGGTGCTCTTGAATTGTTCTTCTTGAAAGTCTGTTTGTGGGGGAAAACAGGCATTGCTTTTAATGGCCGTCACGTTTACAAGCACGCGAAAGGACTAACGCAGCACTGTACCACTTGTTAGGGAATTCAGTTTACAACCCATATACGCATGACACAGCTTAATATTCAAGAAAGCATGCACATTTCCTGCACAGAATTTCAAATTGATTATAAACTCAGACCTACAGGCATGAGTTTATAATTGATTATTCAAATTGTAAGGATTCAGATCTACCACAGGGGGGTTTATAGGTGAACAGACTCACCGCCCAATATATAACTATTCTTCTGTTAAACTGGTCTTCAGACTCTTCAAATTATGTCAATTGCTAATGGATCTCTCACTTTGACATTCCAACCGTTTAAATCAAAAAGACTTAGTAATATAATGACTACCTATGTAGACCACACTAAAACTTTTCTAGCTTCTAAGCCTAAGATTATGCAGGAAGAAAAATATTACGTCCATATAATATTCACCAAGGCATATTTGACATGGAAACTCTTCATGGCCAATAAAATTCATTATAGGAAGAGTTTTTGTTCAAAAGTAGTAAAATTGCAGCCATGTGATGTTACTGGCGTGTATACTGCTATAACATAGTAATTTTCTCCCAATAGATGACTCAATAACTTCTGATATATATCCAGCCAAAGTCAAAATTCTAAACGCAAGTGCTGATACTTGTCAATACAACATGTATGAATGCATATCAAGCCTCTACTGACAAGTATTCACCAAAATCAAAAGTCTAAGCTATTTGGGCATAAGAAGCATAAGGTTCGGTATAAAAACTTCAAAAAGTGGAGGCTATTACTATCTATAAATCGCCACTTATCCATACCTTTCCTAAAATGTTACTAGTTTTTCTCTTGGGAAATTGGCCTTGATCTTATTTACGTCAAAAAAAAAAAGTCAGTCAGGTGAACACAGACCTAACTAACTAATCCAACCTTTTGACTCAAGAAGAACATCAATTTACTTGCTTTAAAGAACCAACACAACAAACAAACATAAACTGTTAGCATAATAGCCAACAAATGGAGTAGATTGGGGATATGAAACAACTCACGTTGCCAACAAAAATGGAGCGGGAATCAACCTCCTCTTGTGTAGTTTGGGTGTCAGAATCGCTAGAAGGATCTCAAGAAAGCAACACAAACCATGAGAAACAACAAACAAACAAGGACAATTACAACAAGAAAACAAAAGAGAGGAGACTGAGTGAGGGAAATACTTCCCACAGGAACAACATCAGCCATCTCCTTCTCCAGCTTGGGCAGGATCTTGCGGATAGCCACGGCCGCCTCCTCGATCTCCTTCAGCCTCCTCCTCATAATCTCCACAGCCTGCAAAAGAACAAGTTCTTGAGCCCTTATAATTCTGAAACCCTAGAGAGACAGAGACAGAGAGAAAGAGAGGACCTTGGGCGTGGTGATGTGATCACCATCGGCATTGTCGCCGTCGTTGGAATCTCTTTCGTCGGCGGATGCGATGACCTTCCCGGAGGCGAGGACGGAGTTTTTAGGGTTTGGATCCGTACCGCCTTCCTCTTTTCGTTCGGCGGCGGAGGCTGAGGCGGGG